TAGATGTAGAACTTGTTGCTTACCTTGCTGAACCTCGAGAGCCAGGGAATCGTGATCCCTTGGATTATTGGAATGAAAATGCAAAGAAGTATCCCTTGCTATCCAAGATGGCTCGAATCTTTCTCTTGGTTCCAGCATGCAGCACTCCTTCTGAACACGCCTTTTCAGCTGGAAGACGTGTTCTCACTAAGCGTCGCCGTGGTCTCAAATCAGATACCTTTGAAGCGCTTGTATGCCTCAAGACTTGGAATAAGGTGTTAACTACGATTGTTTTGTTTTTTTCCATGTTTTTCTTTTCTCTACCTTTCTATTTCTAAAATTGACTAGTCAATAGTATCTAGCCTACAACTTAGTCACAAAACAGCAGTCTTGTATACATGGTTTTTGAAGAAATAAAGATGAGTTTTACCTAAACCTGCCCCCATGCCAAAATAGCGGGTCGGTCCGGGTCAACCTATGATTACCAAGATCCCCGCTGAGGCCCGCTTGACCCGGTCCTGGGACCGGTCCCAGACCGGGTTGGTGCATTAAACTCAAGCGCTTCTGAACCGCCGAACCCTTCCCAACCACCGCTCCCTCCCACTAGAAACAATACAACCTCTGAATTACCAGCTATCTCACTTACCACAAACTCAACCATTGCAGACCACCCATCACCAACAGGGATAAACAGTCTCCTGTCTAAAATCAGTCACCCCGAGTCGCTTGAATCATTGATTCCCATTGGCCAACCCACTGACAAGTTTGCTATATTTTTTGTTAAGCCATACCTTTTACCGCCACTGAACCTTATCAAAGATGAGGGTCTCTGGCAGGAGCTCAACGGCCAGCTGACCAATGTGATAGGGAGCCAAGTCATTGAAGAGAAACTCTGCGAGGGCAAGTTTTGAGGCACTCAACTTCTTCCAAAATGGATCAAGAGCGCTCAAGCTCATTTGGCATACTGGTCAGACTCACTTGGTGGGCTAATCATCATGAGACTTAAGCAAATCTGCTCAACCTTCAAAAAGTGTTTGATCAATCAATGTACTGCTGGTCCAAGTACTTCATCTCCACCGACTGCTATGGACCACCTGAGAAGGGCTCAAACTGTCAGTTGGATCCAACAACAACCACACCACCTACTCCTTCCACAAACAACGCCTCAAGACTTACAGCTTCTGTCTTTCCGGAATTCAACACGCCTGTCCTGCAAAAAAAACCCAATCCACCTTCCAAGACTCTAGGTAATCCAGCTACAACACTGCACCTCAGAAAGATAGTGGTCCGCAGGCCTTGGTGTCCAACACCCCCAACATGACCATTAAACTCTAATTTAATACAGACCGCCAGCAATGACTCAACCACCACATTGCACAACAACCTCCGTCATCAAAACAACAGCCTCTGAATTGATCCGGATAACCTCAATCCAATTCAAAAAAGAAATGACAAAGGATTGTGTGCTACTTTATGAAGCCTGTTCACACATGTTACGTGGTTGTCTTTCTGCTAGCATGAAAACTTCCACCCCCTCAAGAGAAGTCAAGGAAATGAAATCCTATATTTCAGCAAGGACTTTGAGCTAAGCCAATGGGTAGCTTGAGTCCAAAGTAAGTCTTCAATTGATGAGCTTGAAATTTGGTGGAACAATTGCTTATTCCACATTCATACTTTGCTACCTCACAGCCAAAGCTTTGTTCATTGCAGGATGTGAGACACCGTGGGGCCAAGACCAGGTAGTCAACTGGAAGTACATCAATTTTGAATCAGAGCAATCTCCAAGCAAAAATGAACTACAGCAGTGACTTTGTGATTCATTCAGACTCATGCAACACCCAACCAAACATTGCCTTGAAATGGCTGGCAAATTTGTGTTAGCAGCAATTATGTTGGTGGGCTCAGAAGGCGGACCCTCCCCCCCTTCGAGAATTCAATGAGTACAATCTACCTTTCCTGAATGTCAAGGATCCTTTTCAATGTGCGGTACACTATCAACACCTTCAACCCGATCCTCAAAAGAAAGTTTCCAGGAATGAACTAATTGAGATGACATGTATTGAAAAACTTACCAAGTTAGTGGACTCGGTTTACAGTGGTATTGAGGCCCTTGCAGTCATTCAAGCCCACCACCATCACCAAACACAAATCCAGAAATTCCGGAGCTCACAAAACAACATCAACACGAGCTTCCACAAAGCAGCTTCAGCCGTGGCCCTCAGATCCCAAGCCTTAGCATCCCTCGTCGCTTTCCTCTCACTCGGGTTCAAGGGGCTCCTCACTTATTGGCGCAACACTTCAAGATCAAACAAAACCAACCTAATTCAACTCTGCCTTGTCACTGGCCAAACGTGCAATGCCAAATTTTCTGAGGAACCCGTTTGGAAACGCCCAAGTAATTACATTTTGAACTCAATATCCAAGGCTCTCTTCACAAAGGACAATGCCAAAGCAGTCCCTTTGTAGTAGGAACATGTGACTTGCAGGAGGTATGATCTTGCCCTGGCTATGTACTTAGATGTATGCAAACACTCTCACAATTTGCCTGCGTCTGACCCAGATTTTCCCCCCTACAAACTGCCCGTGTAGGAAAAGTTGGCGCCTGAGGAGTCAGACATTATAATTTATTAGTTGGTGATCACCATTTCCATTGGTTGTAATTTTCTATCAAATCCCCTGATTGTATTCCTTGATGAGACAATCACGCAGTGAAAATCATCACTAGTTTATCACAAATATTAAGCACGCCTAGCCCCTGTTTCACATGTGCCCTACATCTCTAAGAACCTTCCTGTACTGTTGCCCGCAATCCCTCTATGGTCAGATGCCATTAGTTCAACACTTCACAAATTTAGAACTCATTGAACTAAAATACATCATTTGGAGTTCAACATCTCACAAAATGTTGAACTTATTCTAGATATTCGGAGTTCAACATTTCACAAAATGTTGAACTCCTTGAACCAAGCTATATAATCTGGAATCCAACATCTCACAAAATGTTGAACTTACTCTACATTTGGAGTTCAACATGTCACAAAATGTTGAACTTGTTGAACTAATTAACTATATGGTTTGGAGTTCAGATCAACATCTCACCAACGTTGAGGTTACTCTATATTTGGAGTTCATCATTCCACAAAATGGTGAACTTACATGATTATATATCAATCAATGGTTTGCAATGACCCTCCGTCGCTTGTGAGGGTAAATCTGTGGCTTGGTCTGTCTTTCCTCATATTTCCTTCTCTGGTTGCTAATTGATTTTTGAGCTTTTTAGTACATGGTAATGATCTGAAGCATGATCTTTTGTTACTTTCTCAAATTTGATCCTCTTTTTTCCTATACATTCATGGATCATGATAAAAGGAGTTTCACATTTCACAGAATGTTGAGCTTATAGTGTATTCAACATTTTGTGAAATGTTGAGTTGACTGATAGGTAATATATGAGATCTAAGGGTTGGTGCACATGAGCACTTGAATCTTTGATGCGACCCTCCAATGAGACGCTTGACAACAGTAACATGCCACTTATCAGCAAGGCTGTTATAATAACAACAAATGAAAAAGGGAAGGCAAGATGTTGCTGCAAATCAACCAAAGGAGGATTTGCTTTCACTTGAAGATTATAAAGGGTGTAATTATTGATTCTTACTCTTGACAATGAGTTTACATCATAATTGTTATCAGACAAAGGCAAGTGGCGTCTTCCATTTCTCAATAACCCTCCAATATTTGCCGCTCAAAGAGCGTATAGATTATTTATTAATTGAAGATCTCAATTCCCTACAACTAAATCTGGAATCCCCACCCAGAAGCCCTGAAACTTGTAAAAGAGTTTCAGCCTGATGACAGATTTAGTTGTAGGCTAGAGCTCGGTCATGACTCACTTTCTACGGTGTAGTCACAAGATGGCTTGGGGATCTCAGAGTCCCGCCTAAATGTCTCCCTTTTTATACCTGTTCCTTTGCGCCTTAAATCAATATTGCAGTGGATCATAGTGCTATTGCGTCTTTTATTGTTTGTTTTTACTTCAACAATGTCATTATTCCTTTCCTTTGAGATTTTTGCATGTTGAACTGCCAAAAATCGGCAATCACCCACTATGACAACCTCTTACAACAGTCCATTGTTTATTCCATCTAATTCTAATAACTAAAGCTGTCTATGTTGCCTTTCACAATTTGGCAAATGTTTGTAAGCAATATTGTGAGTACATCAATGTGTATAACTCTTGCCCGTGAGGTTTTTGCTTTTTGAAATCCCGCTTATAAGCGGCCTCCGACATTTGTCCTTTGTTTGTTTTGTCTGACTGTTGATGCTGTCTATCAGGCTTTTCAAAGGGTGTAAGCTTTTCGTTTTTCAAAGTCCCTCTATATGTGGCCTGTTACATTTGTCCATTGTTTGTTTCACTTGAAATTCAATGCTGCTTATCATGTTTTTTGAATTTTCTATTGTGCTTTCGGATGCATAGTCTCCAACATGTGATCGTATAATTGGCGACGCATAGTGCTATTCCTTCTTTTATTGCTCACTTTACTTCAGCAATGTCATTGACCTTTTCAGATGATGTTTTTGGTGTTTGCACCCTCATTGATAAGCAGGTCAATACCCTTACAATATACCACTGTCCGTGCCATCATGTAATCCACGCTTTTGATCATACTTTCCACACTTTTATTATTAAGACTAAGCCGGCCTTTACCCGTGCCGGCTTTTACCTATTATTTTGGTGTCTTATCTCCCCAATTGTCAGCTTTTATCCTTGCCCTTCTGCTGTTTTTGGTCAAATCTTTCCTTTTATCGTCTCCATTGTGTAATATGGCTAATCATCAGCTCATTGATGCACAAATTCTTCTATTCAACATGTATTCACGTCCTGCATAATTCATTCTGTGTATAAAAATTATTCCCCTCTTCCTTTCCTTTTGACTCTTGTATCCTCATCATTGTGTAAATCTTCACTCCAAATCATTTCACCACCATCTTTTTTGTCTTCTTTTCCCTACACACTCACCATGTTGCCAGTTACATTTTTGACTCCTCCAATTGAATCTCTTTCACCCTCCCAAGAGGCTGCGCTCCGTAGTAATATTGTTCATATTTGTGGCCTGTTGTCGTCCCAGTTAGCACACCATGAGGTCAGATCGCTATCTCATCATATAATTCATCTCACGCATTTGTCATCTGACTCCCCTAAACCATAGCTACAATACGCATTATTACACTCAAATCAATTGATGGTGTCACTCATCATGTACATCAATTCAAGAATAACATATTTTGAGCTGTACATCATTCAAATTCTGATCCATATTGTGTCTACACAAGCTGCAAATTCCGTGATACACCCAGTGAATGCCATAGTGAGTTTTTGGATTTCTCCCTTTCATACGATTAATTTTGAGTCCACTTGCTATCCTTCTGGACAGATCTTGGAAGATTGTACCTTAAAGAGCTCCAACATGATGGATCATGGACCGACTTTCCCGTGGCTATCGAAGTTTTAAATGAGTTTTTGCTTTCATGGCCTGATGGAGAACAGATCCTTGACCAAGTCTTATTTGATTCACAGGGTAAGACAGCTTTGACTTAAAATCCCAATTTTGGCTGATTACTGTCAAACTGTATGGGTCCTAACACCTCAGAATCCACTGCTTGGGTTAATCCAATCTTGCCTCTGTTTAGGTGTACATTTTGGCTGCATTCTTGCTTATCTAAGCAGTACATGACACAGGAGCATCGTAAGCTGTGTTGAGGTGGCATTAGAATATGAGTGTTTTATTGGCAGATACACCTGCAAATTCGGGGCATATGTAGCTTGATTGAGATCTTACCTTCATTACAACTTTTGCTCTATGTGACGTGTTCCATGTGTTGACTCTCTGAGCTGTGTATGTTACAGTAAATGCATTCTACAAGTGATGATACTTCCTGTGAACAACATTAAACATAGAATCATACCTGTTGGACTCATCACCATGTTCCCTATTTCCCTGAACTTCAAATTGAAAGGAATTATGGTCACGCTCTGGTGTACTAAACTCTATGCGACATGTATCACCTCTTTTGTATGCAGACATACTTTGGACCTTTGTTCCAATCCCATTGTCACGTCCAGATTTTGGTCTGCAATACTATCATTTTTGATGGAGGATGTAAATCATAGTTCTGGCTTCATCTAACCATCCATCATGTTGGACGTCTATTGAGCAGACGGAATATAAGCAAACTCTCACTTCACATCACATATTGTCTAATTTAGTCTTTTGATTAGTGTATGTGGAGGCATAAGCTGGAGGCTGTGTGACACATATACTAACATATTGTAGATATACCCTACGTCATATACTAGCTCTTGTGACATTCGCCATGGTCATACCCTACAGGTGGTTTGGTCTGCTCTATTTCATATACTAGCCTTTGTTACATTTGCCATTGTCAGACCCTACGGATTGTCTTATGCATGCTGCTCTCCCTTCAGAGTGATTTGAGGCCTCAGTTTGACTCTTCTGTTCAACGACCTATGGTTCAGGTGGAATCCTGTGTCATTCCTATAAAACGGCCTCCATCACTCAACTCCAAGCTCCTGTCATTCCCCTCAATCCCCATCTGCATTGAGTCTGGGTCAATTTGATTTGTCGCGTGTGGTAAATTTTTTGTATACTCCCTCAGTATCTTCGCGGTGCTGATGATCTATCATTCCACTGCATTCTACAATTCAACAAAGTATAACTGAGCTCTGCACTCAAATCAACAAAAATTACACTGCAGTGCTCCATTGTTTCTGACCTATCTGTACGTCCTTCTGAAAATTAGTCACTTCATTCACGTTTTCTTCATGCCTTATGTCATACTCATGTTATTTGTGGTTCATTGGCCTAATTTTAACTTTTAGGAGTTTGAAATGGTGTCTTCCTCTGCATCTCCCATGAGGTCACCTTCTCAAGCTTTCAAAGAACTGTCAAACAATGGCCCCAGAAAGCGTAACCACCCGTTTATTGTTTTGTGCCTTTTTGATGTTTTTGAAAATGTAACTCCTGTTTTCCTTCTATCAGATTGTGTCCTTTATCTCACTGATGTTGCTTTATGTATAGGTTGGGCCTGAAGTCCCCGGTATGTATGGTTTGTGCCATTCACACACTACCATTGTAATGCGCAACAAAGCTGAGGAATCAGTTGAATGGGTTGTAAAGTGTGTAGCGTACGGTGGCACTGACATTATCTTAGATGTAGACGGTGTATATTACTTGAAGGGAAGAGTAGTTGCTCTGAATAATAAAGATATTCAAAAGTTTTATCATGAGCCAGATTTCCAATTATTGGCAAATACCTCAGCAACCTTGAATGTAACTTTGCCAACGGTCTCAGTGTGACTGGTATAGGTATAATCTCTACTCGTACAGCCAAAACAATTGAACCTGGAAAAGAGAAAGCTTTCTTAATTGTTGCCCATTCTGACTACAACCCCAACATAAGTCGTCATTGTTGAAATTTCATGCTTTGTCGCTGCTAAGTTGATTTTTCATGTTAACCTTAGGTGGGTACTCAAGTGACATTTGAAGTCAAATATTGGGTGATGTGGTCTAAGCTTATGGAAAAGTTGCAACCTCTCATGACGGTTGGTAGGGAAGTGATGCTTACTCAACACATTGTGGGCCGTAATGAGGAGCGCCAAATGTGGATCATGCAGGTATGTCGCCTTCAAAGATATATTGTGATGAAACACCATACTAACATTCTCATTTGCTGCTCTTCAGGTGACTGGGGTGAGCGTAACTTCAGGGTTGGAAAACTTTGTTCCAACTGCCCAAGTTGACCGAAACTCCACGCGGACTATGCCTTGGGGTCAAGCTTGAGCTAAAATGTTAGTGTGTTGTTCTCCCATTTCCTTTCAATATATTAACACTCAACTGTTTTGTAGGATCTTCCCTCCAAGCAACAACTCTCAAGCTGGTCCGTATTCCTCAGCTGTACAAAACACAAATGTCCCTGAGGAAGAATCATGCACCGGTAAGGGCAAGGGTAAGGCAAATGTAAAGCCCCCCTCAGCAAGAAGCCCTGTGAAGCGGCCTAGAGGAACTGGATCTGATGTCAATGCTTGAATAGAATGGCTCTCCTTTCAATCTATTTCTGATCCCTGGACAGATTCCTCCCCTGTATTGACCTTTACACAGATGTCTGGTTTCTACATTTTTTATGACTGCCAGAATCATACTCTGTAACGAGAGCAGTGCATTTTACCTGCACGTCAATTGCTGTATTGAGACCCTGCAGCTCCGCGCCCTGTAGGCTCACTATGTATTGTATGAATTTAGTTTCTTTTACATTGTCTGCTCCCATACTTTGCCATTGCCTCATATAGGTCCCGTTGGGGTTCCATTGCTTCAATTCTGCTCGTCGCATCAGCTTACTCTTATACCGTTGAGTCCATTTACTTTGCTTGTTCATAACAAAAGTGTTGAAGACAACCTCAAACTACACAAGGCTACATTATCAACAGCTGTCTTTGGAGTCACATTGTGTTGTCACCATGGCTGTCATCAAGGCCGAATTAGCCACCAAATCTGTGGAATACAATAATGAAGCTTCCATACTGCTTGAATTCAAAGGAGAACTGCCTTACAAGCTGGGCCCTGCGAATATGTCTTGTCAACATTGTGGGGCATTACAATGGCCTCAAGAGCAAACAAATTATGAGGCAGATGGTAATAGCAGCATTTTCTCAAATTGTTGCAAACAAGGAGATGTGACAATCGCGTTAACTTTTTTTGAAGGATGTACGCCGCCTGAAGAATTGATGGATCTATATGTTGGGAATGACCCCCGTACCCCAATCTGTTTGTTTATGAATGGACTCACTATAACTGATGTCCATTATAGATTCAAGGGACTTTTGAAAGGACATGTTGGTTTACAACAACTTAGTCTCTTTTGCATCTCTTGGGTCTCATGTTGACAATTCAGTTGCAGGCCAGAAGGGCATGTATTGTTTGTGAGTCCACAGACAATTACATCACAATATTGATTCACTCTTGCCTTAAGATCCACAAAATCCATGCTTTGCTCAGATCTTTATTGTCGGAGATGGAGGCAAAGAGGAGGTGAATATACGCAAGAAGAAAGCAAAAGAGAAGGTCAAAACAATTAATTGAGTGCTATTCACAGCCGCCAATCACAAGGAATTGGAAGGCCAGTGCATTTTACCAACCCTAGCAAGTTATGAGCAATTTATGAGAAAGTTTTGGAATGGATATCAAATGGAAAACATCTATTGATTGAGAATTCATTGAGAAGTGGTTGGCATACCACCAAAATTGAGATGATGTCATACAGCATCATAAATTTGTACAAACCTGCTCCTGTATTTCCCACTAAGAAAATATAGTTTATTAATCTTTGTGACATAAATTGACTGAGTTATTGAGGTTTGAAAAAAAAAATCACAGACAAAAAATACGATTTTTGTACTATACCTGAGAATTGATTCTGGGATATCTTCCAGCTTTATGAATATACATACTCCATGTCTTTCCCTCCAAGATGAGGAGGGAGTGAGCGTGAGTGAAAGAGTTACATAACTCTTTCCTTGCGCAAGCTGGGTTGAGTGTGCTGTACTTGCTCCCGTGTTCACAAGAGTGAGGAAAGTACGTGTGGGTGAAGACCTAGCGCATGTCTTATGGGACAGGTAATCTCTTAGGGATTACTCAAAGAGTCACTCGAGACGGTAGCGCGCATGAGAGAGGGGAAAAGTCCCTTTGAACCCATCCACAGGGAGCAAAGGCTCAGATGATCCGAGGCCCTGCGAAGGGGCTTGAACCCCACTCTCATAGAGGTAAGCTCGCTAGGAGCCACACATACACTAGAACCACTATCCAACTGTTGATTTGATTCCAGGCAATAAGGATACACAGCAACTAACAACGGACATTACAAGGTACAAACAATAATGGATGTGTTAGAATCACTGCCTGGAGCAATGTGAATCATTCAGCACGCCTGCTAGTAGCTTTGTACCCGCCAATACTCCAGATGAATATCCCTTGATGTACAATTTAGAAGTGTTAGAGCGCCATCTACCTGCATGTTTCAACACAGATTGTCAGCAGCCCAGATTTGCTCAAAGTGAGGCGCCGCCGATACAGAGGCTGTGACCTGACCAAAACACATCTCTGGCTGGTTGGTGCTTCTTAAGAAAAGCCAAAATGGATAATTTTCTCATTGGTTTACGCTGGAAGACGCCACGGAATAGTGAGTCGCTACGCCCGCCGGTTGTTAAATGCAAGAGGTTGCGCAGCGCGGCAATGGGATCAAGTCCGTTTGGCTGACAAGTGAGTTGGACAAATTGCAGCTCACCAGGCGCTGCAGTCTTTGCCAACCATAGGCAGATCTTTGCTTTGGAGAAATCACAAGACAACAACACATCCTTCCTATGTACAAAGATGTCTGGATGATTGCCATGGTATGTTAACTCCCCTAGCCTCGCAAGCCCCCAGAAACCAACAAGAATGATTGCCCAGAAGATTCAGTAAGGCATTCCCTTGGACTCGCGTGATCAGCTCATCAATGTCCATTAAAGTAAGCCCAGCCCTAGTCTGTGCTGCCCCTGGAGGTTTATATTCCTTAGCTGCCACGAGGATCAGCCGCAGACGGTCGCTGTTCAGAGAAGGAAAGGCCACCCTGTGCAGCGTATGCCACATGTGAATGCCCGTGAGGTATCATTTAGTTGTATTACTTGAGACTGCCTGTTGATTCTCAGAATCTCCGCACTACAGAATGAAATGGTATATGTCATCGCTAGTTGCTGGGAAGGGAAAGATAGATGTATCCATGAAGGTGAAGTACTTGTTTACTGCAGCTGCACACTGTCTGGTTGTTGAAGCGGCCCAACCGTAATCAAGGATTTGTTTGCCGACTTTGTTCAAACAACAAAAACTTCCAGGCTAGATTGTTGGAGGGTGTTCTTCACGGTTGTCATAATGTGAGGAAACCAGGTGAGATTTTTGTACTTGATGTGGATGTAGATGTTGAAGAGGGAAAGATTTGGAAAAGGAGAGGTTGCAAGTCTGCTGGAATATCTATTTCGACGACGTTTTGTGAACCTTTTGAGGGGTTGAGACCCCTCAACAATTTATCTGCCTCATTGTCTTCCCAGGTTACGCGGACCAAGTTAATATTGCAATCAAAGTCTACCAACATGTCTTGAACCAGATGCCGTTCACGGTTCACTCTGAAATCCCTTGTTTTCCTGTTCCTTGCCGCGCCCTCTGTTGTTGTATTGTCGGTTAAGCACGAGAACTTTTGACCCGACATGGAAAGACCTTGACAAGTTCTTTTCTTCCTTAACATTAGTAGTACCAGCCGGACAGCTACTGTTTCAGCCCAGGCAATTGTTTGCCTAGGTCTTTTGTGAGGTAAATCCCAGCCTGGACGCCATTTGAACTGGCACCACTTTTTACCCATGATGATGCCAATAGGGATTACAGCTCTTCTTCTCTTTGACATCAATTGAGAGGAGTGCTCTCACATTGACATCAACATGGGATGTGTGTGATCAAAATGTAATCACACCTTGGTCAAACTAAATATAAATTCTTTGTATTTGAGCCATGCTCACCTAGTCAAAAAGAAAAAAGAGACCACAGAAAGAAAGTTGAAATGTGTCAAAGCATAAACCAACAAAAGACCAAAAATGAATTATTCACATGAATGATCAAAGAAAACAAGGCTATCCTGTTGTAAGAACAATGAGGACAAATAACATGCGTAAATAAATGAATAGTTAAAGAACTTATAAATCCACACTTGGCAGACCACACGGAATGTGGTGCTTCAAGACTGCTGATTTGCACTCTCAAAAAATCAGCAGTCTTTGGTAAAAAGATCATCTGATTTCATTCAATGATGACAAGTTTGTCTTCAACACACAAAAAGTGAGTCATTCAGTGATGGATGAGATTGAAGGTGTCGTGTCCCAACCTGGGTCATGAGACACAACATCCTTATGCATCTTCACAGATGATTAACCAGGACCAATCTTCAAACTCGAAGTATCTCCTTTACACACATTCTCTCTGTGTTCCACCTCATCCAGTCTTCATGCCTCAAAGCAAACAAAACATGCCATATGGAGGAACCAGGACTCAAAGGCGCAGTCCCCAAGAGACACCACACCCCATAGGGAGATCTTGCAACCCTCAAGGTAGCATTGTTGGTCCAGCTTCTCAAGCATCTGCAAGTCAAGATCACCTGACTCCCCAAGCTTCTAGGATTCAATTCAACCATTTGGTGAAAACTTCAAAAAAGTAACAAGTACCAACCACAATGCCCCTGAGTGGTTTGAAGAGCGGCAAGACCAAACAACTTCCCAGCAAGGACGCCAAACACACTCAGTGCAACTCTACCCAATCAACCAGCACAATCTTGATATGTTCAACAGATGTAATGATGGCTTGTCAAATGGTGGTAGCCACAACTGACACAGAAATCACCAAGATAACAATGATGCTCAAAATGATGAACATAGCAACAATACCATGGTTAACAAGGTGAGCATTGTAGTCCTTGGATTTAATGGACAATTGTACTGATCTCATTTTGCCAAAGTAAAAGGTAGAGTTACCAACCAAATGTGATCAAATTCACCTGGGGGAGATGGCAATGTTGTTTCATTAACTTCTCATACGACCAGCTTAAGGCTACAGTCATTCAATCAAGTGTTCAACAGCACAGAACTTGACAAAGAGCATAAGATCATTGGCCGTAAAATTTGTGATGTAAGTCACATGATTATTTTGAACACATTTCATTCATACAATTGTGTGCGAGGTCGCTTCCCACAAGGATAAATTTCACACTCTGATTGCAACAATGCTATTGCTGCGCCAAGGATTAGTCATTATATCTAACCAAATGGATGATGTTGAGAACACCCCCAACAAAACTTGCCAAGCTTGTTCTGGTCGCACTTCTTGGGAAGATCAAGACAACAGTGCTCTCAAGGTAATGTCACATACATTTTCTCTTGCCTATTCTGCTTTGAGTCTGAATTACTTCTCTTTTTCTGTCTTGATTTAAACTTGATGATCCATGTCAGGGTGCCTTGCGGACTCAAACATGGAAAAGCATCATGGACGGTGATATTCAAGTGTATACGGCAAAGGAAGACGAAAAAAAGCTGACACTTACCTCATCCTTATTTGCCAAAGTCGTGGTGTGTTTCAATGGTTTTTTTATTCAACTACACATAAGATATGTACTAATGCAATAGATCTAGACTGGAATTTCATTGCATTAAGAAGCAGTATCTGCCACCCAGCTACAGTGTAGATCCCAATGTCAAATCAACTCGTGCATTCACAAGAATGTTGAACAATGTTCTAAAGGAGGTCAGAAAAGATTGTGAGGGAATAGTAAGCACCCCATTTTGTGCCGGTCTCAGTCCACCATCTCAAGTGATCCTGTTCAGCTCCTCGCAAATATTCACCTTCCGGACCGAGTAAACACGGCCAGCAACCTCAATGTACCCAAGCTCAACGAAATCATCATTCGAGTGGGTTGTGTCCTAATTGTCTTTCTGCACACATATTAAGCTGATTGGAAAACAACACTCCTGTAGGTTGTGATAGCTTTACCAAAAGGAACATTCATATGTGGCCGGTAAAGTCCTTGCTGAGGTTAAGATCCTCAAGAGGGTCAATCACCTGCAAAGATGTTGATATGCATGGCTGGTAAGTAACCTCTAGTCTATTGGATTGACTCCAAATTTGATACATAATTGATCTCTCCGACTTGCTTCTCAGAGGATGCAGGCTATCCACTGGGGGTGGAATTATCAAGATTATTGTAAAAGTGCTAAGTCCTTGTGGGCAGTTGTCAACAACCAATTGGATAATGACGGAATTAAAGCAGACAATACCACCATGCATAGGGTTTTCCGGTGAAATGGCTAGAGCCCTTTAAATAATTTGTGAAACCCGCCATTCTTCAATTACAGATTTTTTATCTCATGCATGACCAACGACTTGCTTGGAATTGCTGGTAAGAATAACCTTGCTCAAATGCAGACTTCAAGTCATTGTTTTGCTCCGCCAACTCCTTAATCCATCCAGGAATCAATACAAGAGTTGGAAGAAACTTGTGGGCAAGAGGTTGGAGACAATGAGATGTCATATGAGGAGGAAGTAGGAGAAAGATATGAAGAAGAAGAAGAAGAAGCTAAATTGGAAAGAAACAAGGAAAGAAACAAGGAAGAAGAAGCAGAAGAAGAGGAGGAAGAAGAAGCTGAAGAGGAAGAAGATGAAGAGAACAAGTGAATTTGTGGACTGCCCTGGGCATATAAATAGCCCGTGACTATTAGCTCACGGTGAATTCTTACTGGTGGTCTTTTTTGCTGGTTTCATTGTAAATGTTCTGCAGTTTTTTCCACATTATTTTTTGTATCATCAGGGAGCTGTATTAAAAGTATAGATAGCGTGCATGTGCAATGGAACTGTCTTAATTTGCTGTAAACTGTGAATAGCTGCTGCTTCATAAGCATCAGAGTGAAAACAGAATGAAAGTCAATCTGTTATTCCGCTACCAGGATCACCGTGACCATCAACCATGCTGCACCCATTAAAAACTGGTTTGATAACGATGTAGAACTAGTTTGATAGCCATGTAAAACTGTTTATTGCTGGTTATCAAACCAGTTGAAAACCTGCCCTACAAGGTTTGAGATATCTTGTGTGGTTTAAAAACCCACTTTGAACTGGTATACAAGCAAATTTACAATCAGCAGTTTTTAGCCGTGCGTTACAAGCTGGTTTTTGTGAAGTTGGCCGCCCAGCAAGGAAAAACCATTTCCCAACCGATGTTAAGCCCCGGTTGGAATACGGATATAAGGGGTATGGGGTGTAGTGGAGTGCTTCCGCTCTGTTGCCCATTACTTGTCCAGCTATTGCCAAATCCGTATATTGACTGGAGGGATCATTTTTACAAGTTTACTCTCAGTCTTGGAGGGGGATTGGGGTTTACATCATGAGACCAAGATAAACCACTTTTATTGTTCTTAGTTCAATACCTGAGTTACAATTGTTGAATTGAGACAAGCCAAGAGCTCCGCACGTTGCTTCATGAGTAGCCAATTTGAGAGGAGCTGTGTTGAATGCTTTTGCTCCTTTGTTGTAAAGTATGCCCACAAGGAAGATACCTAAATGTGCGTAACAAAGAAAACTCAAGGAGAGTTTCAATGGATGCTTTCTTATGAAAATAGGTTAAAAGGAGCCTGATGGTATGTATAGGTTTGGAGTATCAAAAAAGAAAAATGTGAATATAGAAGAGCCGGCCAAATCTGTATCGAGGAAAGTAGACAAAGAGGAGTCGAGCAGAAGCTTCACTATCAGATTGAGTGAACAAATATATATATATTAATACAAGAAGTGTTAAGTGATATTAGGGCAGTTCAAGTTTGAAAAAGCACTAAAACAGAACTTCATGTACAGCATGAGTATGTACAGCATGATTCTGCTTATGATTTTTGAAAGTTTGAAAAACCCTGAGAAAGCCCTACCTGAGGAGCACATGTATGTGCAAACAAAAGTTGGAATTCTAGAATTTTACAGTACAGGGAGGCCCAAAGGCTTAGGCCGCGTTTACTTAAGCGAATTCTGACTAGAAATCGCATTATGTAATTCACAGAAATCACATTCTGTGAAATGTGTTTGATATTTTATTTACAAGCATTCTGTAAAGTACAGAATGCTTATAAAAAGCGATTTCTTGGGACATTCTGAGAATTCGCTTGTAGCGCATTCCTGTCAACAAAAATCACATTCTGTGATTTCTTTCTTTGTCTCAAATTTGGACAAGTCCGTCTTCACCGTACAGAATCATCGTCCACCACCTTCATCCATCAACCACCACCTTCGATCATCAACCAACACCTTCGATCATCAACCACCACCTTCATCCATCATGCCTAATGAAGATAACAGTGACGATGAAGCAGTATTGATTGTTAATTCATCGAAAGAAAAGTTGAAATTGAAATCGAAACCAATCAAAGTAAAAGAAAATAAGGCCAAAGAAGAACAAACAGCCAGTGGCGGTCAATGGAATCATGCCAATACTTTATATGTTATTGAAGAAGTCAAACATCAAATGGAGCTTGGGAAAGGTAACGACGGTGGTCTTAAGAGCGAAGGATGGAAACTTGTCTTGAACAATTACAATTCAAAATACAAAGTCAAGGAGCCTTTGTCTCGATTGAAGAATCACATTCAGAAGGTTTGAACTCTCATCATTTAACTCATTTCCAATTCGACTGACTGATGGTTTCTTTGTAGTTAAAGACTACTTTCAAGGCGTTTTTTAAGATCATGGACTCTTCCGGCGCTCCTGGAGTCGATATCGTCACAGGAGAAGTTCATGCTGATAAGGATTGGTGGAATCAGTGGATAGTGATGGTACTTTCAATCTTAATATCATTATTTCAAACAATTATAGTTTCATCATCTCAATCTAAAATTTGATCATATGTAGTCTGGTAACAAGGATGCGAAACCAATCCGAAACAACGGGTTTCCAGCATATCAAGCCATGTTGAGTATTATGCCCAATAAACGATTACGAGCCAATGGTAACGAGGGATTTGGCACTCAAAGCAAGAAGAAGAAAGCAATCACACCCCCTTTACCAGATGATTCAGACAAGGATCAAGAAGGTATTTGATCATTTCTTCTATCTTATTTCCTTATTTGATCATTTCTTTTATCTTATGTCGTTTGATTTGAATGTGATCAACACGGGTTTTGACCTTTCCTTCTTGATTGATAGCTCATGTCTTATCTGATAATGGCTCCCCTCGAGATCGATCAGATGGATCTCCAACGCACGCTTCCGATTCACCAAAGGAATCAGACCATGGTGACATCAAAGGAAAGAAAGTAGCTTCTTCACAAAAGAAGACGCCTGTAGTAAGTCTCTCATTTAATTTCATTGATTCATTTTAAGACATCTTATCCTATCAACTTGATCTTCTTTTGATCTAGTCTCGAATCAAAAACAAATATCACCTCACAGCAGCCGAGATGGCTCTTGACACCGATAGCAATGACGACACCCCTGAAAGAAAGTTTGTACGCAGCAAAAGGAGCCCGGTTGGGGCCTCAACTTCGACTGCGAAACGATCCCGAATTAGCGGACCCAAGCTTGTTGCTGAATCAATCAGCAAAGCTGTTGATCGAGTGACCAGTCTGGAGGAAAAAAATGATAGTGACAAGGTTGCTGTGGCTAAAATCAAAACCGAACAGCATCCAATGCGACAAGAGGCGATGGCAATCTTCAACAAAGAATGCAGCAAAAACCTCAAGCCTCAACATATCATTAAAGTAGCAAACGAGTTAAAGAAGGACGATAGTGCTTCATTCTTCTACTACATGGATTCAGCTCATCGATGGAATTGGTTGAAGGATGAAGCTAATGTGTTACATGAGTATCAAGACATTCAAGAGGAGGATTGAGATGAGCAACAATGAATCATATTCATCAACTCAAGAAATTGTCATTCTTATGTGTTTTATTCAAATTCTTTTTCTCTTATCATTAAAAAATAAAATACATATTATTTCAATCTGATAATTTTGTATTGAGCTCAAACAAAAAAAAATATGTATATTATATATTACAGTCAATAAGAATTTGTGTTTTGCTTTGAAGTAATTGAATTTGATCTTTTGCTCTTGATGATGATACAAATACAAGTACAAGTACAAATTGAAATGAAAACAAAAGTGAAGTGAGTACAAAATTTCATCTGAATCCATCTAAACTCGCCTACGTGCCACCGGTGCGTTGGTGTAGTCTTCAAACATTTGCTCAGCAATAAGATCCCTTTGCTCGGATGCCTGGGTACGTTGGGTGGGGTTTGGCTCAACCCATTCTTGTTCACCGTTATCAGCAGCCATTCTATGTTCCAGTCGCTCTTTCAACATGTATTCATCGAAGAATTCGTCTTGGCCAGATTCGATTTGTATGATGTTGTTCAATACACAGCATGCGATAACTATCATCACTTGCGTTTTATATGGATAAGAGGGCATCATCGCCAATATCGGGAATCACATTTTCGAGACCCCAAATATACGCTCAATCACAATTCGGAGGGCCGAATGGCGGTGATTATAAAGTTCCTTCGGAGTTTGAGGTGTTAAATTAGAATGTTTCCACTCTTGAAGGTGGTATCTTACAGATCGATATGGAGTCAAGAAGCCGGGTACATTAGCGTATCCAGCATCCGCAACATAGAATTGACCTGGACAAGAAAAAGCTCAATAAGTAATATTTCGATGGAAAGACAAGAGAGAATAACATACCTTGAGGAACAACAAAGCGTTGTTCTTCGAGCGCTCGGTGGAGGACACGCGCATCAGCGTGTGATCCTTCCAAACCGGCATATACAAAAGTGAACATCATATTGAATGAGCACCCAGCTAAAACATTTTGCGAAAGGAGACCCTTTCGGTATTGATGAGCCTGTTTACGGTCCTGTGGAACTATGCAGGGGATGTGGGTGCCATCGATAGCACCCACACAATCGTCAAAATACGGTGTAAATCGAGGATTGTTTCAAATTTCTTTTGGGCAGATCTCCCCTCCGGTAGGTTGGACTATGTAAATTGATTCTAATGAGGCTATTGCATGGCATACATTGTTAAAATAAAGGCTGATCGTATGTCCAGATCGTTGGAAACGCTCGCAGGCCAATCGATTGGTACCCGAGTTTCCAACGATAAATAAGAAAATCATCACCTGCTCTTCGATGGTGACGCTTTGTTTACAATGGCGGACAAGCTTGCCATCAAGGGCTTTAATCAAGCCCTTGAAAGCGAGCTTGTCCATTTGACATAGCTCTAAAAACCGTACGTCGCTTCCCTCTAAGATTTCTTTCGTATACTCATTTCCTCTCAACTTCGATGTTCGACAGGGGATTCTCTGGGTGGTTATCGAGGCTAGATAGTCTGTTCCGGCTTTGATAATCACCTTGAGAAGGTCAATTGCGGTTCGAAGGGATTTTGATGATCCTGTGGAGGTCGGATCAGATGAACTCAAGGACATCGTGGGATCTTTAATTTAATTGGGGGTGGAGTCATAGGCAACATCACCTTTGATCTCAAAGGTGATCAAAAGTGAATGATCAACGTGATCAATTGCTGAAAACTGTTCCTTATTTGTCTCATTGTCGAACGCTTCTTGACCTCATTTTTCACAATTTTTCACAAAACGTCAATTTTCGTTGATTTTCATTTTTTTTTTAAAAAACACTTTTCTACAT